GGGGGGGGGGGGTTATTTACCGTATTGACCTTAGGTTATTTGTAGCCCTAATTTTGTATATATATTCTTGGTTAGTAGATAGTTGTATCATCCGATTGAGATGATTTTTAACCCCAAAACTTTGTGTCTTCTCTCGTAACACGTTATCCGATATTAAGTTACATGGTCGTAAGTTTCATAAGGATCATATTTTGAGGGCGAGATGAATTTTCTAAACAAAAATATGAAGTAAACAGACGTGAGAAAAACATAAATAAAAAATATGGTTCATTTGGAAGGAATTAAACCCAACGCAACACTCGTCGGGTTTTTGCTATTTAGGATTATCATTAACAAGCCCGAAATAAAAATCAGGTGAAAATCAGACTTTGTATTTTGGATATTGGACATTTGCTAACATTTATGGGCCTTCTCCCAACATTGTGCAGGCCCACAGGAACCTGAACTCTGAAGTACTCGCTCCACAAGTAAAAGATAAAAATAAATAAAAAGAAAATATCAAGATATGGCCGACCGGCCAACCTCCTCCCTCCCGGTTTATTTTCCTTGCGCTTCGAGTTCGATTACCTCTCGACTACTCGAGGCAGCTTGAAGTCTTTGACTCGTAGTATCCGCACCCAAGAGTTGAGTGCTCGTCACCGCTTTGACCGACGAAATTGTTATTTCTTTCACTGAACACTATCTTCACTGACCAAAAATTTATATATGTTTTTTCTCACGTCGCGTTTATTACGAGAATTTCGTCATGTAAATTATTATTATGTCATCAATCGACAACTTTTAAATGACGAAAAATTAATTTTGTCATCTTCATATTATTTTTCAGTGACGATTTTTTATTATTTTACCAAATCTATAAAATTGCAAGGACGAATATTTTTGTGGCTTTTTGTTTAAAAATCGTCATATTTGATATAATTCGTCATGAAATAGTTATTTTTTAATTACAAAATTTTTTGTCGTCATTGAAAGAAATTATAAATATGACGATAACAATATTGAAAAAAAAAAAACTAGAAGCAATGACGAAATATTCATTGTCTTTAAAAAACATACAAAAGCTATGAATTTTTTATATCATGTTCCTATATTGACTTCTGGATTTCTCAACATTCATTAGGAAAAGATGTACTAAAAAAAGAAAGAAAAAACCAATATATTTTATGTTATGTTCCTATATTGAGTTCTTTATCTCTCAACATTTATATACATAGTTAATATAATTGGCAAAATTACAAAACAGATACACTAAGTTAAGCGTTGTCAAGAAAAGATACATTATATTGTCCCACACGGAAAAAGAACATTTAGTTGGCATCTTGATCGGAAAAAGATACACTAATCACCTATGTGGATAAAAATCTGACGTGGCTGGATTAAGTAATGATGTGGCATATAAACTTTCTTTAATTTCCTATGTGTTATATAAGTGGGTGATGTAGCATTACACCTAGATAAAAAAAATTTAAAAAACAAAAAAAGAATCTGAAAAATAGAAAATAATATATATCAAAAATAAAAAAGAAAATCATTATATTTCGTTAATATATATTAAAAAATTATTAAAAAATCTATCGTTAATATTTTGTTAAATATAAAAAATAAAAAAATTTAAAAAAATAAAAAATAATATATAGTAAATATAAATATATTTCGTTTATATATTAAAAGAATAAAAAAATTACAAAAATAAAAAAATAATATTTTGTTAAATATAAATATATTTCGTTAAATATATATTAAAAAATAAAATAAATCTTTATATTTCGTTAATATATATTGAAAAACTTAATAAAAAATATTTCGTTAATATTTTGTTAAATATAAATATATTTCGTTAATATATATTAAATATACTAAAATCTAAAATATTTATTTATATAATATATAAATATATAAATATATATCACAAAATCTATAATTATATTTTAAAAATTTTATTTTAGTTTATTTTTATAATATATATATATATATATATATATATATATTTAAAAATATATTATAATAAATACATTTAATGAAATGTTAACGAAATGTATTTATATTTAATATATATTTTTTTGATTTTTTTTATTTTTTATTTATTATATATTTTTTATTTTTATATTATATTTTTTAGTCTAATATATTTTTTTTTATTTTTTTTAGTATTTTTAATATATATGTGTATATATATATCATATATGTGAAAAATATTTATATTTAACAAAATATTAGCATTACATTTTTATTTTTAAATAATTTTTTAATACATAATAGCGACATGTAAAGAGTTTTTTTATTATAATATATATATATTTAACTAAATATATTTATATTTAAAATAATATTTATTTTTTATTTTTGTTAATTTTTTAATATTTTTAATTTTTTAAATTATTTTTAATATATATAAACGAAATATATTTCTATTTAAATATATTATTTTTTATATTCTTTTTTAGATTTTTTATTTTTAATTTTTTATTTTTATCTAGGTGTAATG